GATTCTCCGTTCTGGGAATTGGAAAAAATCATAAAACAGTCTCTATTCGAGCATTAAAATGAATTAGCATGTGTCTAAATAAGCATTTGTTATGTGGAATGCCATTTGCGAAATGGAGAGAAAAAGCGAGCAAACGTGGAGGAGAGAGAGAGAGAGAGAGATAGAAACCCAAAGTGTGAAGTCCAGGTTTGTGGAACGAACAGTGCGTTATGATATATTGTGGAGAAGCTATATAGAAGTTTTAAGGTGTGCTCATACAAATGTAAATCATTTCTCTTAACCAATATTCAAGTAAAGAGATGCGGTCTCACATGATTTTTATTTTCCTTTCGTTGCCAAAAAAAGCGACTTGAACCAGTTTCGTTGAATTATTATTTTACTTTCCGTTTTGGATACACAACAATATTCCAGCGTCTCTTTCACTCAGATTTAAGGATAATCTGTACCGATTTTTGAATTGAAAATAAACAAAAATCACTGCGCGCCATATTTTCCAGCAGCACACTATCGGTGGTTTGGTGTGGTGTGTATGTCGGTTAGAGTTGTAAACGAAGAAAATCGAGCATGGAAAATCATCGCGCGACGAAGAAGAAACGTAAAAATAATAAAAATTAATGTAAAATGTCAGAACGTTTCTTTTGATATTGCGGATTCGATGGACGCGTTTAGTATACTAAATGAATTGCGCAGTGGTGTGTGTATGCGAAAATCCGTTCTATTTCGAATCTTTAGTCACGCAAATATACATAAAATATTCAAAACATGTTCACTTCAATGCAATAGGAAAACGAAGAAACGGAACCAATCAACAGCAATAACCAACAACATGGATTTTGTACGTTGATTATTTTGATAACAGTGATGACAATGGAAAATAAGCTACAAATTTAGGGAAAATAAACGGTAGAATGGGGAAGCGCGCAGATCACACACACACACACACACACACACACACAAACAGTCAGTGGAGAGAAATAAAATACAAAGTCAAAAATATATATATTTATATTCATTCGATGCTACGACAAAGGAAGCACAACCACCAGATAACTAGAGTCAAAAGCTATGAATGGTCTTCAATCGAAATGCCGAATTGTGTGTTTATCGTAGTGAACGTCGATACATTTATTGTAACAAAAATAGCGATGGAACAATTGTCAAAAAGAAAAACAAGATACGAGTAAATCGTTTGATTACAAATTTCAACCAAAGATAGAATCACAACTGTAGAACCTGGCTATGAAGGTGTATATGAAACCGGTGTGTATGCAATATCAATGTTAGTCGGCTGTTGCTGTGTATGCTGAATTCAAATGCAGTGGAAACTTTCCGCTTTGTTTCAACGATTTTCCTCATTTTCTCTAAATCTCTAACTTGGGATCAAACTAGTCGTAACTGCACTGGTCTGAGATTTAAATAATTTTTTGTAAATAATTTTGCTCAGGTAAAAAAACAGAACACATTTGAGTTGTATTCTATTCTTGTTGGGTTCGTCTAACTTCTAACATTGCCACACATAGCAGCTCGAACAAAGAAAAATGGAATATTCAAAATGAAAATGCGCGCTGAACAGAGTGATAAATTAACCAATATACGAATGAGCACAAAAATATTATGGAATACTTCCATCTGACAGCACGAATTCACTTATTCATTTTATTTTCTGACGTGCTGAGCTCATCAACATTTAATTTAAATTTTTCCAAGACGACAAGATCTTGGATCAAGCAATGAAGTAATAATGGTGTTTGGGTGTTGATTCGTATTTTTTTTTTCCACTCTCTCGCTTTCTCTCGCTCTTTCTCTCGACCGTTGTTACTTCATTCCATCCTCATTATTTTCGTCTCGAGCAATTTATTTTAGTATGCTTATCGCTTTTTTGCGGCTCATATGAAAGAAGAAAAAGAAAAATATGAATATTTGTCGTGTGCTATGTGCGCACAAACACACTTCCAAATAGAATGCTTGAAGCGAAAATAGATAGACACTCGGTGTGTGTATTTTCTTCATCGGCATATCTTTCAAAATAATCATTTGTTTTATGCATGCGCGGGGATTGATGAATGATGCATAAGAATATGAAAAATATGTGCTCGAAAAACACTGCTGGTGTATGCAGGTTCAATGCCAAATTTTACTTTTTACACAATGTAATTTATATATAGTCGCAGTAAAAAAGAACGCTATAATCGCAATCGTAAATGGTAACTGCTGCAATGAAGTATGAACGAAGCGGATATCTGTCTTGAACGGTGCTGCGGAAACTGAAGTAAAAAATCGGTTGTTGTTGTTGTTGTTATTTTTTTTTTTTACTTCGTTCCAGAAGATTTAGAAGCATACGATGCCCTCACTTTCAATCAGTAAATGGTTTACAGTACGTTTCCCATTTTCCACCATTTTCAAAGAACATACCATTAATTTCGTATAGGAAATATCAGAGCTGTGCACCACGTAGTTATTTCTCTGTGGCGCCGATTCGACTAAGCGCTTGTCAAAATCTACTTTAGATTATTACTTACAAAATTTCTTCAGATGCCTGGATCCACGACTTTTGTCCCTTAGTGGGGACATTTTTGTCTTTCACAGACATGCATAGATGCGTGCGGAAGCATTGTGACGATGCCTGGATCCAAGCATAGAGTACGATTCCGTGTATGAAATTATGGAATTTGTATTCGCATGTTATTGTATGAAATTATATATTCAATTATATTATTTTTATTTTATATTAAATCCAGAGAAAGCCGTTGTAAACTTGTAACAAATACGTAGAATTGTCACAAATACGTAGAAATGGTTTGTTCACAAGAATTTACAAGAACAAACGAAAATGTGTCAAACGTCAACAAAGCAACAACGTTTAAGTACTACTTCATGTACTTTGACTTCTGGTACACTTTGTGTAATAAAGACTATGAAAATTTATTTGGAAAAAAAGTGGAACCAAATAAAAATTTAATAACATTAAATAATGACGTGATGTATCGAATTTAATATTTTTCCAATTTGAAAACCACGAATATACATGTTTTTTGAAGTAGTTTCATACATTGAGTTGTGCGCAAAGATTGGATCCAGGCATCGTCGAAGTATTATGACAACTCAATGTATGAAATTACTTCAAAAAACATGTATATTCTTGGTTTTCAAAATGGAAAAATATTAAATTCGATACATTTCGTCATTATTTAATGTTATTGATTTTTTTTTGGTTCCACTTTTTTCCAAATAAATGTTCATAGACTTTATTACACAAAGTATACCAGAAGTCAAAGTACATAAAGTAGTGCCCTGTATTCATTGACTACGCGCACTCTATTGCAGTAATGGGGCGCGTAGTTTGACGTATAGGGCACGTAGTTTTTCAGTTGCACAGCTTTGGGAAATATCGTATTCGGTTGTATGTACTAAAGTTTATCGATTCGCGGATCATTTGCAGCTACTTTGTTTAGGTAGCTTCGTCCTATGTTTCGTCAACTTTTTCATCTAAAATCCAAAGTTTTCGCTAAAACTTATTTCAAAAGTAGATGAAACAAGGGTGTAAAAATACAATGGTATTTCTTTGCAATTTAAATCAGAAGGGGCAGGTGGGAAATTTTTTTTTTTATCCAGTGTATATCCAAATCACAACTCAATTTTTTTCAAATTCCAAAAGAATTCGGATGAAAGTGGAGATTCTAAGTCAAAAGTGTATTCGCTTCAATGTAATTACTAACATCGCTAATAAGCCAAAGGTGACTGTGTGACTATCGAACAACGGTCGCATCGCAACTGTGTTTGCGCACGTCAAACATATTCAATGCTTTTATTATGAACGAAATGGGCTGATGATTTTACAAGAGCGCTAGAATGCACACGAGAAATTTTATTACCATAAACTGTTTTTTATCATTCTTCTTTACGTTTTCGGCTAACTGCATATTTTTGGTTTTGTAATCATCAATATTATAATATTGGGTACAAATTCAAAAAGCATGTAAATAAATGCTAACTGACTCTTTCAAGAAGTGCTGGCTCTCATTCAACGTGTGCTTCTCTGCCATAAGAACCAATGTATGACAGTGAATAGCGGTGGCGCCTAAATAGAATCTGCGGCAATTTTAGGAACTATCAATACTTCTTGTTGTTGCGAAATTCGTGACAACAACAAAAAGTATTGATAGTTCTTAAAAATGCCGCAAATTGCTAATACATCTTATTTAGGCGCCACCGCTATATTGCGCCGTCCAAAAGCATAGGTTGCTCTTATTCCAGTGAAGAAATAATATTTATTTATTTTTAGGCCCAAAATAGCTTATTCCGAAAGATTCAGCGATTTTCATCGTTTGGGCATATCCGAATTAAAGTGCAACAATTTTTTTTTCATGTTGAGTTGTTGTTGTTGTATAGAATATAAACTCTATATACTTAGTTGCACTTAACAACTAAAATATTCTGAAGTTATCGTTTTGTCTCAACGGTTTAAACAAAAAAGGTCCAAAACTTTATCATGAGACTGTTGGAATAATCATCATTAACAAGTCCATTTTTATTTTTCCGTTTTGATCAAACTATATTTTGGTATGTAAAATAATAATATCACATAAATGGTTGGTGAAAATCAGTTGAAAACCAGCCAAGAGCTTTGAGAAAAACAGCCATATATTTGTTAAAGTTCACCAAAGATGGAGCCGCGCTTCATCGTATTGAGAGGAAAGTTTGGTTCGAGTATTGAATAATTGTAGTCGAGTTTTTTTTTTGAAAATTTGAGCTTTTAAAAGCTTATTGTAAGCCCAGTAAAATAAGCTCAGGACGCATTTTAACAATGAATTACATTGATTTTCTGCAGATGTCATACCTTCTTGATTCCTTTTTCAACGGAAAGTCATTGATGCTAGAAATTCGAGCGTTTTTTTTTTTTCAATCTGTGATATCATACTGGTTTAGTGTTTTTTTTTTAAGTAACAAAGAGAGAACCCTACCAATGGCAGTAGAAAAAAATTCAATGAATAAAAAATGGATTTGTTTTTCAATTGTTCAATTGTTCAGTTTTATTTGTCCACATTAGTAGTAGGAGTGTATTTTCTTTAAATAAATTTTGTTTTTGTTCGTGAAATTGTGTCAATACAATCACGAAAATAACCACTAAACGTAACATTAATGTATTGGGTATTCTTTTTTTGTCTGGTATTTTGAACCAATATAAAACATATATATGTCTAAAATTAAGCATTATTAGTCTAATGAGATAGTGTACGAATGGAAACTAAATAACTAATTGTAACATAGGCCTTCAAAATGTACGAACGCAAGGGCATCAATCGAGTTTATCTTCTCTTTAAAGCCATTTATTTGGACATTCGGACATAATTTACAATAATTATGAAAACAATAAACATTTGTTTGTTGTCAATGAATTTCGGAACAAATTTCCAATTGTAAAATGAAAATACAAAAAATGCCAATAAATTCGAAAAAATAAAAATAGATTTATACACCTTATTGGCTGATTCCTTGCCTATTCATCGTCATCATCATTTCCATTTTCCATTAAAATCAAAGCAGATGCAATTTATTTTTTTCTTGCTTAAATTTAAATCTAAATCGTTATTTTAACCCAATCAATATGCTCAATTTTCATTGACGCCATCATCATACTTGTTTCCTATGTTAATGATCAAAGGTTCCCTACAATTGAAGCTAATTTGTTGAATTCCATCATTTAATTGCGGTGTTTACGAGTTTTTATCCAAGCCTAATGTCATTTGCGATATTGAAGAATTCGATTGATCTCTTTCAATTCACATTGCGAATAAATGTCACATACATTGAAAATGATTCATATTTAGCTATTTACATAAACACACACGCATGCACACAGATCAAATGAATTTAAGTCAAAGTGAACATAGAGTCAGATTCTATTGTTACAGATGAATAATGAGTTGAATTTGCCCCTGTTTGACTATCGAATTCGCCAATTGATGTACACCGGGATCCGATGTAAAATGGACGACGAAGAGAAATTGCTTGTGACTGACCAAGCAATGAGGTTTTAAAAAAAAAGAGAACTCAATGTATTTAATGGCAGATGGAAAGAGGAGATTGAATAAATGAATTTCTCTAGCACATTGTTGACCGGTGCAAATGTGCGCGTCAATTTGAACAAGCAATTATTCTAATGTGCAGGTAATTTGTTGAATGGACTAACGAGCAACGTCGTTGAACGTCTAAATCGATATAGAACCATTCCTGGAATCGGCCGGATCTGAATTCGGTTGGAAGCATCAATTTTCAGTATGTGTCTGTGTTCGTTTTAGCTTTTTTCTTTTCTTTCAGCGTCCTTACTTCTCCTCATGTACGAGAATTTGATTGGTGTTGTTGTTGATGATACTGGTTTGGTTGTCAGGTGATTAATCGCTATGTTCGCTCGTTGCATGAGAACCATTAAAAATATTCAGTGCGGTCGAACGTAGCTCCATCGGTAAATAGATTTTATTAACACAGGTAATCTTAGCACGGCAAAGTGGGCATGTTTCACATCTAATGAAGAAGACGAGAAAGAAAAAAAAAACAAAATAACAGAACATTAACAATTTAATACGTTGCCAGAGAAAGTTTGGAGTGGTTTATTCAATTTATCACAACGGTTGTCGATGGATGGATGGATGGATGGTTGCCACTGTTCCAAAGTACAAAGTATACTAAAAGTGGTAGAAATGAGGTGGAGGAGAATATTTACTTTTCGGCACACGAATGACACGAAGTAATATGACCGCATGGTGTAAAACTGGTATCGATTTCTTGATCCATGCAAATGCGACAAGTTATCGCTTCCGAAATACGTTCAGCTACCTCTTTTTCCATTTTATGTAGTGCATCATCGGCACTGGCACTGGTGCTGGTACTGCATTCCGTAACGCCTCTTGTGCCGAATTCCATGCCAAGCGGTGCAAATGAATCAATCGAATCAATGGCCGTTTTGTTTGTGGCATTCAACAATGATGTTGATGCAACATCAATTCCCTTTGCGTGCAGCACACGACGAGCATGATCGTATACCTCACGGTACGTTCGTTGAATATCAAACACATATAATTTTCCTAATTTCGTATAAACATTGAACATGGATGCGATTGTGCCCTGTTGGTAAATCAAAAAGAGAGAAAACATTCAAAATGAGCATTTCATATGGACCACACATATTGCATATAGTAGCTTTAGTTGAACACAAGTTCTAGTCGATAGAATTTTAGGCGGTCTCTGACTGAACGTTAAAATTTGTCAAATGTTTATGTTTCGATTTTTGTTCATTGGCAAAACTTACCTTAAAATCACGAATAAATTGCTTCGTGACGTCACTGCCGACCGTTTCACACGAGTAGAATGCATGCTTTTCGGTGATTGAACGATATAGTGCAATTGCCATCCGTGGTCGGGCCAATTTCAATTCGATTTCTTCATGCTCGTTGGCTTCCGACAAATAGACTAGTCGGAAATTACGTTTATATGGTGTTGCCGATGATGCCGCACTAAACGGTATTCTGTGTGTGTATGTGTGTGTGGACGGGAAAGAAAGCGAGATGAGAATTTGCCAAACACTTGAGCAGAGGAGAGAGAAAAAAAGAACAAACAAAGAAAGGAAAAAGCACAACAAACCTAGTTTGTTCATCGGGTGTGGTAATCAGAAGTCCATGCGGTCCAACACTAATATCACATCGTTGAGCCGAAGTATTGTCGTGACAACTAGGACTAGCACGTGTTTTCACATAATCTGACCAATCAGCGGTTTCTGAGGTGCTGCGATTCCGTGATATTGATGATGTTTGATGGCCGGATGATGAGGGCATCCGAATGCCACTGAATGTCTCTTCACCGAATCCATTGAGTTTGAATATACTTTGTAAGAGCCAATATTTTGCTGATTTTGACGATGTTTTCACTAGTTTTGAATGCTCAATGGCAATCTGACGCAGAAAATTGGCTGGCATTGGATCGACGCCATCTTCAACATGTATCACATAGTCTTCGTAGACGTGCAGAGGTGAATACTCACGCACAACACCTGTATCATTATCCGATTCATCGTCATCGTCCAATGATAGCTTTTGTTTGGACAATTTCCGCTTTTTACTTTTGCCCATTGAATCTTTTTGGCTGCTCAAACTGCCAAGCGAAACACAACCCACTGCAGTCATATCGGACGTTGAAACAATGCTGCTACAATCATTGTCCGCATAACCATTGTGTATTGTATTTGTAATTGAATTGCGGTGTTCATCTGGATCATCGCAATTTAACGCATTCTGGTCGAATTTAATCTCATCACCTTGTGCCAACAATGCTGCTAACCGTGCTGCAGAATCCCAGTCAGGCGCTTGAAGACGACCATCGAGTAGATCACTTTTTGCCTGCATATAAAATATATTTCGTACACTTTCTTGCAGAATCAAATGAGCCGGTACCCAGAATTTTACGCGGAAAGCCAATGAATATGGTTGACCCGTGTTGCCATGTTGACCCAACGGATTTCTCAGATTGATCCATTCATAGTAGCGCGTACATGTACCGCTATTATTCGTTCCACCACTTGCACTACTGCCAATCACCGTAAATGGACTGGTCTCCTTGTTACACTCAACCAATCCAAAATACTCTGTTTCACATGTGAAGCCCAAATTTTTGCATACCTGTGGATGAAAATAAATATAAATATCGAATTAGTGAACAGGAACGATAAACAGACATTCTTAAATTTATTGTTGAGAGCTTGCAAATTTCGATGGCAATCAATATGTTCTATCAACCATTAGAATTGGACAACCAGATTATGTTTTAATTGAAAATCGCGTCCGGAATCGCGTATTTCCTGAATTTGCCAACAAAAAGAGTGTATTTTGCATATGTCAAAATGTGTTCACTTACATTGAATATTCAACTTTCACTTCATCGATATAAAATTCTAAACCGATAAACGAAAAAAAATATTGGTGTTGCATTCAGCTGCAAATGAAGCCAAGAAGTTGAATTCAGAAAGAAAACACCGCTTAATATTTACTTAGTTTCAGGAAAGCCTGCGAAAAGACTAAACAACAGAAGTTGAACACTGTTGAAGAATGTAAACAATTCAATAGTGTTAAATCAACTATTCAGTGTGTATTTAAATGTTTCATGATTTTTAAGTCATTCACTGAGCTCAGTTGTTTTTCCTGCCTAAAGTGTACTTAAGCAGAAATTCTTTGTGTAAACAGTATTGTTTTTTTTTTTTCGTGAGTTGGTTGCACCAGACAATCTTATCGCTACCACTTTGTGTTTGAAGAGGAAACCATTTAATTCGGTGGAAATCATTTCAATAGCTGTTTGTGATCGATACAAAATATTTCATTCAGTTTATTTTCATACATTTGAATGACTTGAATGGAAGCATCTTCACCTAAATAAATAACTGATGTAAAAATGAATGGACGAATTGCAAATTCAACAGCAGACATATTTGTCGCTCCTTCTGATTGTAAACACTGTTTTTCATTTGTTTACATGCGTCGCTGACGCTGTTCTCTTCATCTCTCTCTCTTTTTCTCTGGCGCGAAATGAGAACATAAAGGATAAGTAAGTCAAAGACGCAAAATCAAAACAACTCTAGAAGTATGTGGTCAAAATAAAAACAAAATAAACCACTAATACCAATCACATTGTTTACGAGATGCACAAATGAATACTCCATTCATGGCATTGTGTGCGTGCGCGAGTGTGAGACTGAATGTAGGCATACGTTGCGTCGGTGCAACGGAACGATTTTAGTGACTACTTTCAGCTTTTCAGAAATGACCAACACACAAACGAGAAACGAATTTTGTGTGTACGTTTGGATGTATGTGTTAGAGTTAAATAGCTCGATATTATATCAAGATTCAGTGTATAAACATATACTATATAGTATTAGCAGAAAAATTGCGATGCATTACGCACAGATTCATATGTGTATATAGATTTCTTAATCGGCACCACTATATCCATTCCATTTCACTCTTTCTTGGTCGTCTCTTACACTGAACATTGCCACTATGTTGTTGCGTTTTACATTGTTTTTTTTTTGTTTTGATTATTTTTCTCTCGAAATGCTAAAATATTTTATGTTGTTTCGGGTTCGCAATAAAAGTTTGCCAGTCCCGTTTCTCCACATTTTATGCGAATCATCGATTGTGCGATTTATTTAATTAAAAATGAGCTACATTAGATCGGTTGTGTGAGATGAATTGGTGGCGATAAACACTGACCAATTAACTTCTAAATAACTTGGTCTCGATTGCCTGTTATTTGTTCGGTTTTTGTTTTGTTCTAAGAGACGTTTTTTTCTTCTTTGGATTCGTCCGATACATGTACGATTGTTTCATCTAGATTTTTTGATGTCAGGCAATACAATTGCATTGTCCATCCAATGCTGGATGACATATATCTAACTATGATTCCAACGTATTACCACTCGAATGTACCAGAAATATCGAAATCAAATTGGATTCGAAATTCATATATATGAATATTGAAAGGTTTGTGTGTATGGGTTTTAACTTTGCATCCATGAATGCGCATGGTGTGTATGCTTGCTTGCAATCACGTACATTAACGATATTGGAACGTGGCGTGCGAAAAAGAGAGCAAAATCCACAAGATATCCGGCCATACACAATCCATTAGGTAATTTGATGTGATTTATTTGTGTTTTTTCTTCTTGTTTTTCTTTGCATTTTGGCTTGGGCATTTTTATGGCGAAAACAATTGTGCCAATTTTCTTATGCGAATGAATGGGATGCAATCATTTAAAATCACCATAAATCGGCAGGTGATAGTGTGCAGCTATTGTCATACATACAGTGGACAAGGCTAGACTGTTGTTGCAATCAATGCTATTGGATCAATAGTTCAATTTTTGTGCACTTATTTTTTTTCCACGATGATCAGCGCAAATGCATTGTACTCCATCGGACCGTTATCGTAAACCAGAGATGTAAATGACAATGCAAGCATTGAAAGGAATAGATAAATTGAATACAGACCTTCAAACAATGTGAGCCAAATTACTTTCGGGATCAATGATAGCAGAAAAATTGTTGGCTGTTTTTATAGTATAGTTTCGTTTGGGTAACAATGAAGGAAAAATAAAATGAAACCATGTCGAAATGAAGGCGCGTTGTGAACACATGCTGTGTTCGTGTGCCCGATTGCAGACACAGCAAAATTGCAAGAAAGTGAAAATAAGTGCGAATCAAACCGATATTGTTCGATGCTGTATTTCAACGGCAATTTCCGTTGCATTCGTTCAAACGAAATTGTTTGTTGAGGCAAAAATTGTTCATATACATTTACTGACATCCCTCTCGTTTCAATTCATCCGCTTTTCACCGGATTTGATTTGTTTACGCGCAATACAACACAACACAAATGAGAAGGAGGAGGTAAAAGATGAAAAAGACTACCTATAATGTCAACGCAAGCGAATGCAATGCATTTTGTGTGCATCGGCGGGAAAGTGCCGTAACAAAAGCGGTGAACGGAACATTCAACGGAAGAAAAATTACAATTTACATACAAGACATGCAAACAAACATTGCCATTGCACATCGGATGCATCTAAATGTGGTTCGTGCCTTTATTACTCTCACAATCTATAGACGTGCAATTGAAATGCACAACGTACTTATCGTGCTGTGCATATTCAACACACTGCACTTCGGGTTATATGTATAGGATGTTTTGAACACAGCTCACATTTCCAAGCAAGAGAAAATGTGCGCTCTTTCATTGAACAGGCACGTGCACAAATTCATAACAAAAGTACAAGCACAATCAATAGCAATTTCATGTTCTATCCAAATATCAAGTGCTCGAGGTTGAGGCATTCATACATTTAATTCAATTTTTCGGCATAAAGTTCATTCGATATGCACGCTTTGTACTGGGTGCTCCTAACACACACACACACACACCCATACATACATATTCGTCGTGTGTAGTACTTATGGATCGCGCAATGGTGTGGTCGATCAAATGAAACTCCACACACTTTTTATTATACGCATGCAGCGAATAAATTGGTCGAACATTTGACCTGCGAAATGGACGAAAATATTTAATTTTGGTATGCAATTTGTATCATATTATTGAAATAAAGCCTTCATCGCCACTCGAATGGAAATCACGAAACAATAATACTACTTTGCTTACCATCTCTCTCTCCTCTCGAAAGGCGAATCAATGGCCATTGTTTTCGAATAATAACCTCTTCAAAGTGTTGAAAGCACTCATTATTATTTGGGCGGTACTTTAAAATTCTGTTATTTGACAGGTTGGCTGCAAAGCAAGCAACCACTTTAACTGGCTAAATGTATGGTAGTCGCTGGATAATTGGTATTATTATTATTGGTATATACTAATACCGCTATGACACTCGCAGGATAGTTTTTTCTCTCGAAAATGTGAAATTTCAGAGAGAAGGTACAGGCCAATTGGAGGTGATTTCTGCGGGTTTTTGGATTTTATTAAATTGTCGTGAAAACCTTAGAATATATGGCTTCGTCTAATTATTTGCAACAAACACCCTCTTCCGAATTAGTTTCATCTTGTGACGCCAGATTTTCTGCCATGTTGATAATTTTTTTTACATAACTCGGAACCATGTGATCGTAGCTCTTTTCCTCGGGAAGGAGCCCCATCCTTATCAGATCTTCATTAGTGGTTTCTTCCGGATTTTTCTCATCCAGCAACTTCTTAAGTGCCTGAGCCCGCTCCGTCACGTCCTCGATGCTGACAATCTGATTTTCCACCCAATCCTCCGCTAACGCGCCAGGGATACCAATCTGAATGCTCCTGCTACCGTCTTCCATCTTTTCCAGTCGGGCCGTGCGCTCCGGATCCCACTGCACTCTCACTCCGTCTGGTTTCTGTGTTGATTTGCCAGTCACGGTCTTTGCATTTTCATACATACTAGCAACAGCATCTCCCGATTTAGTGGTAGTACTGCTAAATGGAATGGCTTTTTCAAGGAGTCCAATGAAATGTTCATGCTTCATCCGGATTTCTAGAACTCGTTCCTGATTCTCATCTTTGTATGAGTAACCCGAGCGATACATCATCCAACACCAGCTGGGTTTGATCCATGTCATGCGGGCAAATCGGAATTTTGACGAAAAGGACAGCTTTTGCTGATCAACGGCGGCAGAAGCGATGTCGCGATTATACGCCTGGTAGACTGCAATGGTCTTATCGTCGTAATTAGCACGAATATGATGATGTTTTGGTCCATGATAAGGACTGAAAGTCTGTTGTGAGCTTGACATTTTCGTATTCATAGTTCACTCCTGTGTCGATATTGAAGAGCGGTAGCAGTACTGGCAGAAAGCACCAGAAAATAACGGGAAAATAACCACCGAAATTTTCACTTGTTAAGAAAAGAAAAACAGTTCTTATCTGGTTATCGCAGGTAATCATAATCTTATCATTGTCTGGAATTGCAGTTAAAAACGTATCTTGTTCATCTAACGTTAACTCATATGACGGAGAACCGTTTGTACTCGCTAGTTGTGTATCATTAGTATATATGTTTCGTTTATTTGATTTACAGCAGCATCCTTCAGGGCCGTTATCCTTCTTAACTCTGCGTTCCATTCAGCATGTTCTATATAATAAGAATAAC